ACGGGAAACTGAAACACAGAGAGGTTCAGTAACTGTGCCAAAGGCCACACGGCGGAGAGGTCTGTAGGATATTAAAGGAGACTGGGCCTTGAAAAATGAATACAGGTGGGGAGTAAAGCAAAGGGCATTGCAATGCAGGCCACAGCTTTTGAATAAGCAAGGCAGTCTGGTAGTGCTTAACAGGTCAGTCACATGCTTAGGTCACACAGTGAGGCCACTCAGGTGAATGGCACCTTGAGATTATACTCTTTGTCCAGCGGCTTGTAACTGCTTAGCCAGCCTGGTTGTCTTTCCGCCCCTCACGCCACCAGAAAGAGCCATGAGTATCAGAAAATCCCACCCTTCTGCCCTCCTACTACAACTCTGTATCTTTCTATCTCCCCACTTGCCATGAACTCTGGGAGGGTCTAAGCGTCTGACTTTCCCCACTAGGGCCTTGCAGAAAATAGAAACATAATTTTCACTAAAGGTAAATGGATACTGGCTTATTCTATGTGCAAGTTGGAGGAGTGGTCTTCACCTCAGAGCAATTTTTGCTGCATTTTGAGAGCCAAGAGGAGGGAAGAGCCATCAATCAGGCAAAGAAATGCTCACTGGACAAAAAAAATCTGACACGTGTTCACAATCGAACCCCATGATACGGACTTTAAAGTAAAAATATATTCTCCCAGGGGCACCTGGGTGGCTGGCTCAGTTGGTTACTCACCTGACTTTGGCGCAGGTGATGATTTTGTGGTCCGTGGGTTCAAGCCCTGCACCCGGCTCTGTGCGGACAGGCTCCGGAACCTGGAGCCTGCTTCAGATTCTTTATCTCCCCCTCTCTCTCTCTGCCTCTCCCCAACTTGAGCGCTCTCTCTCTCTTAAAAAAATTTTAAGTTTTTTCCCAAAAAGCTCTAATCTTTTTTTCTGCCTTTATATTATTTCACCAATTTTCATGATCTTCCAGAGAAAGAATGGTAGGAGACCAGCATCATCCCCACTGTCCAGAACAGCCTGTGCCCTGTTAATCTCTCTTCTTCAAATGGCTTGGTGGTATTTTCTTCAGAGATATCTGCTCCCTTGTCAATTTCTAAGGCTCCCTTAAAGCTCAGCTCAAGTAGTACCTTTCAGGAAAGCCAATCCTAATCATCCAGGCAAAAAAGATCTCTTGACTCAGAGCTCATAGAAGCATTCACTATTTGTTAAGTGAATTAAACACTCCTGTGTTTCCTATAAGGATTGTGCCTAGTGCTTTTAATTCTTACATAGAATTTCTGGACAACCAGCTACTTAATGGCATGATTCCTCTTGTATCCCCTGAAACTCCTAGCTCAGTACCTTTGCAAAAAGCATCATATAAAGAAAAATTGTACGTGACTGGTCAATGAAATTACAACAATAGTTGCATTTACACTATTGAATAAGGTTATCAGGATCAAAGTCACCATTACTTGGAGAATTACATTACAAACCAATGAGATACCTTTTTGTAGGTAATGTATTAGTAATTTAAAGATTTCTCTCATCAACTGTGTACTAGATGCAAGGACAGCTCGATTCTGCAGGAAGTAGGGGAACTACATGTAGCCACAGCCATGAAAAAAAAAGTCCCCAGTTTGTGAAATCATCCCCCCGGGGGGGGGGGAACTATACGCATAAAGATGATTTCTGCAGTAATATATACCAGTACAAGTCCAAAAAATTAACAATCATTGCCAGTTATGGGGGGATTATTAACTAGAAACCTGTCCATGGGGTTGTGGATGTGTGCAGGAATTAGAAAGTCATGGAGACTAAAGCAACATGGAGATCTACTTTAAGAGAAAATACAAAATCGAGCAGACATGGAAATGCACTGGAAGGACACAGAGCTGAAATAATCCAGCTCCTGGAACGGGGTAAATATGGGTCACCTTTTGTCCATTTGCAAAACTCTCTGTAGATTTACTGCTTTTGCAATTTACAACAGGACAGAACTCTCACACACTGCTAGTGGAAATACAAACCATACGATCGCTTGGGCTTCTGTTCAGCAGTGTCTGCTAAACTTAACAGTTTAGAACTCAACAATTCTAAGTATACACTCAAACCCAATGTGTACATGTGCTAAAACGTTCACAGCCAGGCTACGGGCCATAGACAGACAGAATCTGGAAACTACCAAAACACCCATCAATCCCAGGACGGGTAAGTAATTTGAGGTATAATCACGATGGAATATTGCACAGCAAAGACGAGTGAATTACAGCCACTTGCAACATCAGTAAAACTCACCAACATCATTTTGAAAGAAGACAGATTAAAAACAAACAACAACAACAAAAAGCAACGTATTAGATGATACCATGCATAGAGAGCATGACAACAGGCAAAACTGATCTGTAGTGGCAACAGTGGGTACCCTGGGAAGAAAAAAATGACCTGAACAGAGCAGGAGTCCCCCACAATATGGCAACACTCTCTCTTGATCTCAGCGTGCATTCTAGGTTTAGGTTCACTGTGAAAATTCACCAAATTGTACGCTTAGGATGGTATGTTACAGTTTAACGATTACTTCAAGAATTGGCATTAAGGCGAGCCACCCATGCAACATGCCAGGTGCAACAGAAGCATAAAATGTCCCCCAACATTTGAAACCAACTTGACTTCTTGGTTTGACTGCAGGGCAGAAGAGAAGTGGGGAGGCTGCTGGGTAGCTTAGACAGCTTCACCTCTGCTCCCTGAAATGCGATTTTTAAAACATGCACAAATAATCCAACAAATGCCCGAGGGACAAGTCTGCGATTTTCACGGACATCTCCCATCTCCCCTCGCGGCTTCTGAACCTGCTCACCCTACAGGCCTCAGCTGCCAAATGCACTGCCCCTTTAGCTTTGCTCCTGCCCCCTCCCCATCGCGTTTTCTCCCACTACACCCCCTCCGCTCCTCCTCCGAACTAGGTGGTTAACACAAGAGCACATCAGCTCATGAAACTATTTGTGAGTAAATGCTGACATCACAAAATGAACCCAAGTCTTGACTGTATGGATTCCAGGGGCCATTTGCCTGTGGTTTCTTTCCTTGGGGCCAATTTAGAGGATTTAAAAGAAAACTATTTTTAAAACTGCACTCCTCTTTTGTTCTATCACCTTTCCCCCCAAAACACACACATAGACAGAACTCACTTTTGCTGAGGTGGAGCCTCAACTAGAGTCTCACAAAGTGCGCTAAAGCATCCTTGTGCCCCCAGGGGGGAAACGCATCCCTCCAGTGTGTCTTCAAAGGAGGCCACCATTCTGCCAATGGCCTGAGGCTCTCTTGCATCTTTAGACACTAATCCCACCACAAGACAGCCCCTACTATTAACAGCCCCAAATCTATTAAAAAAGAACCCAAGTTTCTAATTCAATCTCTACCTTGGGAAAACCTCACCTTAACAGGAGAGAGGGAGGCTGAGGGAGGGTGAAATGAAAAGCGCTCATGGGGATGGGGTTTCTTGGGGGGTGATGAAAAAACTGTTCTGGAATTAGTGATAACGGTAGAACCTGGTGAATATACTAAAAACCACGGAACTGCACATTTTTTTTAAAAGAGTGTATTTATGGCCTGCTTATTAGATCTCGATTTTTTTTTTAAATAACTAAAACGTGGGAGTGCCCCACTTTTTACTAGAGAAGGTTGGATGAAAGGAGCAATTAGCAGGTGAACAGCTAAGCACCACCTAAGAATCAAACTGACTAAACCCGTGAATTAAAAAAAAGGCGAAACAGGTCCTGATTTCCATCCAACTCAGAGGTGCGAGGAGGGGTGGGGGTGGGGGGGCGGAATGGAGGCGGGACAAGAAACTGCACAATTACACGTTTGGAGGATTACCCCTCCTTGTTCGTTGGGTTCTCCTGCAGATAGATTTCATTAATTAATCCGACGAGACGAACCTCGTTCAGAGGAGGTGCAGGCAGCGAGCGCTGGGGGACGCCACAGATTGTTTTTAACGCTAACTCGCCCCAAGCCGTCACCCATCACCCCGGGGCAGCGCGGCTCCCACTAACCCGCAGGACCCACCACCAGGAGCTGTCTCCCAAAGTTCCCCGGGAACCCAGATGGGGGGTGCGGGGGAGAGTGGGCAAGGGGTGGTGGCTGCCCAGAGCGCAGGATGCGCGGGTTTGCTCAAGCGGCCGGGGAGAGGGGGCGTCGGGGACCAACTCCGCTCGCACCCTCCCTGACCTGACGCCCCGGATCGCCCAGGAGCCCGCGCCGCGCTGGCCAGGGTCCGGCCCCGGAGGCCCCGGGCTCTCCCGCCCTTCCCCCACATCCCGACCCGTCCGACCCCGGCCGGAGCCATCTCGGGAGTCGGCTGAGCGCGGCTGAGACCACCTGCCGCTCTGGGATACACAGAGAAAGGGGTCCGCCGCCACTCCCCCTGCGGAGCGGAACCGCGAACTTCACCCGCTGACGCCGCGGGGAGGGTCCTGCACCCCGTCCCGGGCTCGCACAGGACCCGAGGGTACCCCAGCGCCGTGCGTCCGCACCCTCCCGTCCCCGGCCCGGACTTCCCCGCTGCCCCGACCGGCCGAGCCCGCCCCCCC